GGAGGAGAACTGCTTCATAGGGTTTCCAAGGCTGTAAATCTTTACTGACACAAACTGCTTCATCTTTCTCCTGTGGAGTGGCTAGTGGGTTTGAACTACTAACCGTTAGGTTAGCAGCTGAATGCTTTAACCACTGCAGCACCACAGCTCCCTACTCCAGCATAATCTATGCTAACTTAACTGAAAATATCTTTCAAACACCCTGTTTCCAAATAAGGTTACATTCATGAGTATGGGGGCTGAGGACTTCCATGTACCTTTTAGGGGCACACAATTTACTCATAGCATATAGTATTGAGTATATGTGGGACACAATCACATACCCCAGGTATGTAACAGCCACACAGTCGAAGGTAGAACTCAACAGCCCCAGATATGCCACACAAACTCAGGTACAACCATTCTTAGACAAAGACTGGTTACAGTAGTATACACATATACATATGTAAAACCCAAACACATAACAGTTTCACAAACCTGGACACAGCCACACAGACCCAGCCCTAAGATACATATCAGTAATACCCCAATACGGCTAGATAAAAGCTACATACACTCATATCCCTACCACAGAACAGCCACATAATCGCAGATACAACCATATAGACTTGGTTACATCCACAAAGAAAAGATAGACACCCTGTCCTCACTTACCAACATGTAGGTTCCAAAGATCAGGTCATTATGTGAAAATTGGTGTCATGCCAAAATGGAGGGCAACCACGTCAGATCGCAAAATGAGGATGGCTACATCATTACATCATTATATAACTGCCAGATTGCATCATTAAGTAACTGCCAGAACATGGAGAATCATGGCCTAGCCAAGCTGACACATAACCGTAACCACCACAGCCAGCGCTACTCCTGCCTTTCACCCCAGCATTCATTACTGCCAGATGTATGTCATTAATGCATAAAATAATCAGATAGTAGATTTTTTACTATGATCGTAAATGCAAAGCGATGGATAACAAGATGTTCAATAAATGAGGAGTAGGTATATAACCAGGAACTTTGGTGGTGTAGTGCCTAAGGCATCTGACTGCTAACCAGAAGGTTGGCGGTTCAAACCCACCAGCCACTCCTCAGAAGGAAGGTTGGGTAATCTACTTCCATAGAGATACCGCCTCGGAAACCCAAGGAGGGGTGGCTGTGAGTTGGATATGACTTGACAGCAGTGAGTTTGGTTTGGTTTGATTTGAGGTGTATAACCAGACAGAAGAAAGAACAGCTTCACAGACTTAGTATAGTCATACTTAGAAATAGACAACAGTGTGCAACACACATACACACACATCCCAGTCACACAGCTGTCACATAGATCTGACAGCCAGACTTAGACACAGCTGCATGAGTGTATGCCCCCCCACTCCCCAAATATATAACATCCACACACATGAAGATAGAGGTGCATGGTCCCAGATACTGCCAATTTTGGTAACAGTTTACTCAGAGACAGCCCAACTCTAGCATGCATGCATAAGCTCTAATCTGACAACAGTCACAGGATCACAGACACAACAGGACACCAACACATATACACATACCCCTCACAGGCTCCATGTTATCCACATGGACAGGCATTTAGATACAAGTACATAGACCCATTCATACTCAGGGTCAGCTGGACCACAACACACACACACATTCCAGCAAACAACAGCCGCATGGATGTAGATACAGCCGCAGGTCGCAGCTCCAGACTCACTGACTCAGTGAGAGCCACACAGGTGAATGTACAGCCAGAAGACAGAGGTACAGGCACAGATACAGCTGCATGAGCTCAGTTACAGCCCCACAGATCGGAAACAACCCTGAGTTGTTGTTGTTATGTGCAGTTGAGTCGGACCCAACTCATAGCGACCCCTCCTTGGGTTTCCAAGGCAGTATCACTACGGAAGTAGATTGCCCAACCTTCCTTCCGAGGAGTGGCTGA